GTGATAAATCCTTCTTAAGCACCAGGATTTCCCTGGGATTTCTGTGGGATAACACAGCTTCCCAGGATTTTTCATTTTTTTTTGCTGGAAAACAGAACAGGGAATATTAAATTTTATGTTGTGGGAGGAAAATGAAGACAAAAGCAGGTTCCCATGTTCTTGGGGGTCATCAGGACTGAAGGGAAAGGAAGCTGGGAGTAGTTGTTACTACATAAAAATATCAGGAATGAAAAGATCAGGAAGGAAAAGATCCTTTTCTGTGGGTTGTTGATGAAATTCCCCATCCCTGCCTGGCCAAGCACCTGCCACTGGTCCAGGAGGAGGCTCAGCCCCTGGACAAAAGCGTGAAAACATTTCTACTCCAAGTTTATATTCCCAAAAATGTCCCACGTTTATTTATGGAACTTTCAGGGTTGAATTTTGCCAGCTGTAATTAAATCACTGAAATGATTTATCCACCCTGTTATCACATCTGAGGGATCTTTTCTCCCAGCCTGGGGGAATAAAACCCACAGATGAGAATGAGAGTGCTCTTAGCCTCAATGAACACTAACAAGTAGCTCCAGCTGCTTGTGAAATCCAGGAGAGGAAAATCCAAACTAAACCCTTCTTCAAGCTGCTTTATGACCTTCAGATGAACAAATTTGCATCAAAATTCATCTCAGGCAGGGGCCTGTGGACGAAATGTGTGTTGGTCTTTCTTTTTGGGTCTCAGAATTGCCAGGGAATATTTTCTGTGTGATCAAGAGGTTTTCTGCAGCCTTGCCAGGACACTGTTGGGACTTCAGAGCTTCCCAGAGAAAAAAAAAATTTCCTCTTGAAATTGTTTTGGACAGGTGTAATAAATCAATATAAATGATGGAATCAACCTCTGGGCTTTATTTTTTGCAAGACCATGCCAGGGAACATTCCTTGGAATAAGTGATGATATCTTCCTTAGAGAAAAGAGGGATGAAGTGAATTATCTACAGAAAAGGTCAAGGCTCTGTTCCCTGGCTCTCCTTTAAAAATCTTTTTGAGGAAAACCTTTTAAAATCCTTTCCTACACCTGACTCCATTCACCTGTGCAATAAATTGCCTAAAAACCGTTCTCAATCTGAATTTCATTAAAAAATAACTGAAAAGTCCCCCCAGAATTAACCAGAAGCCGCAGCTCCTTTTTCTTTTGTTTTCGGTAATGGAAGTTATTTCCAGATTAGAAGGAGTCACCCTCTGGCTGCAGAGGAATAATTTGAATTCCCCCTCGCTGGCAGGATCCTTTCCCATCTGTGGGCACATTTCATTCATTATCTCATATTAAACCCAGAGGTGTTATTAAAATCCAATATAATTTCAGATCTGCAGGGAGCTCTGTGATAGTTGTGACGGAAGAGGCTGAAAATAATGTTTCAAACTTTGCTGATGTGGCCATTTCAGTGTGGCTTTGAACGATATTTTTGTGTTTTCTCACCTGTAAAAAGTTGAAAATTTATTTCAAAATGCAGGAAATGTGGGCACTTAAGGCTCAGCTTGTGAGAGGAGGACAGAGGGAAGGGAGAGAAGGGGATGAGATGGAATCACAGAGCAAAATCTGGTGCTCAGTGAACAAAATCTGGGGCCCTGCTCCTGTCCCAGCCAGGAATGCCCTGTGGAGATGGATGGTGATGGATCCTTTGATTCCAGGCCTGGAAAATAACAATTTATGTGCTGACAAACCTCCTTTAGAAATGAAATTTTGACTTTCAGACACCCCCAGCAGCAGCAGGTTCCTTCTGGTGGGCATTTGGAGGGTTCTGTTTTCTTTTCTTTGAGATCAGTACATAATTGATGGTATCTGCCATGGGAATATTCTCTCCTCCTTATACCCAGGGAGGAAATAATCATGTTTATAACCTATTTTTGAGTGGTACAGTTCTATTCTTATTTGAAATGATGGTTTCCCTCACACTTGTATTGATCAAGAAATTTAAGTGAATGTTGCCTTGGTTACCTTTGCAAAACTCAGTATTTTTATCCTTATTCCTCAGATTTGTGCTGTATAAAATCCCATTTTCTTTGTGATTCTGTATTTCTGACCATTATTAACCAATAACTTTGTCAGTTCTGATTCATTTTTTTAAAAAATATTGTATTTTCTATGGGCTTTTTTGGGGGGCAAGCTTCTTCTAATTATTATATATAATATAATATTGGGAATTAGCCAAAAACTTTTCCCAGGAACCCACCACTGAATTCCATCCCCCTGTGCTCATTCCCACAGAGCTGGGATGTCAATTAAAGCCTTAAAATTAATGTAATTTGGGAAATACTTTTCGTGAGTCTTAAGGAGGTGAAATAAAATATTCCTTATTTAACACGTAGAGTTAGGAAAGTTCTCCCTGTCCCTCCCAGCCTCTTTCCATCAAAATAAACCGGGAATGCAGAGCCAAGGAATCCTAGGAAGGAGCCTGCTGCCCTCTCATGGCTCCCTGAGCAAACAGCCGGGAGGAAAATGGGAATAAAAGTCTGGGAGGATCCTCCTTTTCCAGCAAAATTCCCTTTCCAGGCACAGGAGCAGAACCAGGACAGGCTGAGCAGGACGGGATAACTCCATGTCCCGAGTTATTCCAGGGAATGCTGTTTGGGGGGATTTTATTTCCTGGTTTTTCAGTTCCTTCCCTTCCAAGAGGTTGTTTTGACGTGGTTTGGGCACCCCAGGAACTGCTCCTCCAGCTAAAAATGTCTTAATTCCTAAAAATCCCATTAATTCCTTGGGATAATTGGGTGATTTGGGATTTCTGTGGAAATGTCCAAGGGTTGGATAATGAGATAACAAAGGTCAGCTATCAGGAACTGCCTGGATTTGGGAGCTCCTGTTCTAAATTAAATTACAAAATAAGAAAACTCTGGAATTCCCCATGTCCTGGAAGGGAAAAAGATGCTCAGGAGCCATCCAGGGTAGGGATGAAGAGCAGGAATTCCAATTGTCCAGGAATCTGCTGAGCCAAAAGGGATTTGGCATCCCCACTACAGCCACTTCCAGGCTGAAAGAGGGGGAAAAATGGGAAAAAAGGAAAAAAGGTAGGGTTAAAAATAAAAAGGGGAAGAAAAAGAAAAAAAGAGTTTAAAAAAAAAAAAGAAAAAGATGCCTGTGTTAGGTTTTAGGAGCTCAGGAAGGAATTGGCCTGGGTGGGAAGGGGAGAGGCTGGAACTCCTGCAGGGAATTGCAGCTCCCATCCCACCTGCACCGGGTGATTCCCACACCATCCAGCTCCTGGAAGGTGATTCCCCCTCCCACATCCCAGTCCAGACTGCTCCTCTCCTTGTGGCCCGGGTCAGGAATGCTGAAAGCTGAGCTTGGGTGGAGAGGAACAAGAGGGGATTGTCCAGCAAGGCACCCCCAGCTCCCATCTGCTCCCTCTCTTCCTCCTCTTCCTCCCACCCAGAGCAGAATTCCCTCACTCCCAGCCCATGCTGACCTGGCCATAATGATCACTCTGACACAAGAAGTGACTTTTTTTTTCTCTGTCTAAATAAATCACTTGGATGTTTCTACTGAAGTGATCCTGACTGAATTGCAGGGTTTAAAATAACCATATATAACATTGACTGGGCCATACATCCTCAGCTCGCCTCCTGGAGGGGCACAGGACAAGGAGGGATGGCTTTAGATTAAAGGGGAGAGATTTAAGTTATAAATATTAGGAAGAAATCTTTCTCTGTGGGGGTGGGGAGGCCCTGGCACAGATTCCCAGAGCAGCTGGGGCTGCCCCTGCATCCCTGGAATGCCCAAGGCCAGGCTGGATCAACCTGGGACAGTGGAAGGTGTCCCTGCCCATGGAATGAGATGAATTTTAACCTCCCTTCCCCCTCAATTCTGTGACTCTATTTGTGCAAGATCTAGCTGAGCTTTATAGTTGACTCTCAGAAGTTTCACACGGGATAAAAGTTACACCATGCAGCAGAAATGCTGAATAAAGGCAGCTTCTCCTTGGAGCCACAGAGCATCCCCAACACCTGCTGAATTATCAGTCACCCTAAAGTTTAGCAGCAGCTGAAAACATTTAATAAGACACATTGCAAAGCTCCAGGCAGGCAAATGCAATAATTCCTGATGTGGGCACGGCTCCTCGACAGCATCCAGAGCTGGTTAATTCACAATTAGAGGGGAAAAAAGAGCCAGTGCAGCTTTGCTGTTACCCAGAGGCAAAGAGACTCAGTCAATAAAAGCAATCCTGTCCCCCAGGAGCTATTCCACTAAAGAGTCAGCAGCTCCTGCTGCTTAAAAATCTCTGCTGGTGGGAGAGCTGCCGGAATTAACGATCGGGGCTCTAAATCAAGCACGGGATCACAGACACAGCTAATGATTTCTGTTACTGGGGTATCAGAGAACTCCAAATAAATATTCCTCTGGCTGCCCTGGGGCAGCTTGGGGTGGGGGTGAAAGGGAGGAGAGCCTGAAACCAGGATCAAATAAATCACAGAATGGTTTGGGGTTGGATGGAGCCCTAAACTCATCCAATTCCAGGGGCAGGGACACCTCCCACTGTCCCAGGCTGCTCCAGCCTGGCCTTGGGCACTGCCAGGGATGCAGGGGCAGCCCCAGCTGCTCTGAGTGCCCTCTAAATTAAATCAAATTATATTATAAATTATAGCTCCCCACTGCTGCCACTTCCCAGGGCTGGCAGGGAATTTTTGGGAGGCATCTGGGGGAGTTTTAGGGTGAAAATTTGGTGACAGCTCCGTGCATTCGCTCCCCCCCGTGCAGGGATGTGCGGATGCTCCTCAGCCCCATCCCCACAGCAGCCACCAAGCAGCTCCTTGTGCCTGGGGAGGGAATTTCTGCCCTCAAGCTGAAATAAAACACCCAGAGGAAGAATCCCGAGGTAGCTTTGTTGGCCACCTGTGGAGTGAACTCCTGTTTCCATCGGGGTTTTCAGCGTTGTGGTGACTTTGATCTGGCACTCACATCAAAGCAGGCCAGGCCTCGTTGCACGGTGAATTTCTGCTGTCTGCAGGCAAACAAGAGACCTCCAGACCGATTTTTGACAGAGCCACGTGCTCCCCACAGGCATCCAAAAGCAGGATTTATTTTATTTCCCAAATCAGTGCTTAGTTGCAGCAGAAACTCCCAGGCAAGGGGAGGCTCCCGTTCCCCAGAGCTGGAATTCTTGCTCCTCCTGCATTATTCTTTCTCTATCCCTCCACCAGACCACTCTCAGCAGAGCTGTGGTGTGTGATGGATGCTGGCTGGGCCCAACACCGACAGATGAACGCTGAAACTGTGAAATTTTTTGCAGCCAAAGCAAAGCTGGGAAATGTTTGGCTCCACCATAACGTTTACAGTGCTCCCCAGCACTTCCAGGCACGCAGAGCAAAGATCAGCCCTGATTTTGTTGACCTGTGCCACCCCTCAAGTCTTAGAAACCCTCTTTTATTTTTATTTTATTCCCCACTCTGCCCTCACCACCCTTTGAAGCTGGGTGGAAAATCCCTCTGCTTTGGTTCCTTTGAAAGAGCACAGCTGCACAAAGTGCTGGCTGCTTTCATCCCCAAACTTGATTTTTCTGACATAAATAGTGAGGATTCACCTCTTGTATCTCCTCATCCCCTCTCCAAAACGCATTCTTGTCTCCACCAGCACCTCTTGTATAGCAGGGCAGACGTGGAGCATGAGTAAAAATCACACTGGGAAGGAAAGGGAGGCTTTTTTCTTTCTTTTTAAAGGAATAAAAAAGTCTCTCCTGGCTGCAGAGGTGAGAGGCAAAGGAGCAGAAGTGCTGACCACGTGCTCTGAGCAGGATTTTGCACTTTGGATCTGCCCCAAGGTCCCGCTGCTCACTTTTCTGGGAGGGATGAGGAGGGAGCTCCCTCACTCCTGGGCAGTTCTGCAGCCGTGTGTCCTTGTGAGCACACAAAATACTCCTTAAAATGGGCAAAGGCGTGGTTCTGGCCCCAAACCACCCCTGATCATCCAGCTGGGGACACCTTGTGCCAGGGACAGCTGTGTGGAGAGGGGCCGGGCACGCCTGTCCGAGGTGTGGCTCTGCCCTCAGCTCAAAGGTCAAACAGGATTTTCCTGATGTTTCTGTGCATTAATAATTAATGATTAATTAATAACCTGTAGATGCTGGGCTTCTCTGCTGTGCTGGAGCTGTTGAATCATTTGGGTTGGAGAAGCCAGCGAGTCCAGGTGTCCCCCAGTGCCACAGGCTGTGACATCCCTCCAGGCACGGCACTCCGCCCCGTGCCCTCTGGATTTGGCCACAAGTTCTGCCATGGCCAGGAGCCTCCAGACCTGCAGGAGATCCCAAAGCACAGCAAGGAGAACAGGGAGCAGCAGCAGCAGCAGCTCAGTGACCATTCCTCTCATTCCAAGGGATCCCAAATCCCACACGACTAAAACAGCGGCAGCTAAAACCAAAACAGGCCGTGGTGTCCTCCAGACCATCTGGGGATGGAAGTGTGCACACACTCCAGAGCAAATGGAAATTTGCTGTCCAATTCCAGTCATTTTCCTCCACACCCCCTCTCCCAAGGCGTCCTTAAAACAGAATAACATCCTTTGGGGCGTCTTCAATGGGCCTTGCCTGCTCTTTCTTCTTGGAATATCTGGAGTGGTCGTAGAGATAGATGATGACGAGGGAAGCGATGTTGAGGAGAAGGACGAGCAGCATGATCCAGTAGGAATATCCATAGCTGTGTCTGGATCCGATGTGTCCCTGCAGGGAGGTGGAACATCCCTGGGCCAGCTCTTCAGACAGGCTGTTCCCTTGCACGTTCACAGGGAAAAGGATCATGGCTATGAGGACGAGGGCTCCTGGAAAATGTAAATGCAAATTTTAGAGGAGGAACCGTAGTGCTATTTAGAGTTTTTGACTTATAGTCTGCTTTTATCCTCACCCTAGTGCAGATATTTTAATCAATTTTTCAAGTATTAATTAGTAAATTATGGGGAATTTCAATAATTTTTGTCCCATACAATAGTATCTGACAGGATAATATTTTTTTTTCTTATATATAGGCAATGATATAATTAAAATTATTAGATTTTCACTGGTAATTCTTATATAAAACCATTTAATTCAACTTTTTTTTTTTTTATTTAATTTAGTGCTGATGGGTATCGTGTATTCACCCCTTTGGTGATTTGTAAATGTCTGTTTGATATGAGCCCAAATTCATGGACAGGCAGTCTCACAGCTGGATAAGATAAAAACAGCTGGATAGATATCACAGCTGGATAAAATACTGCAAATATTAATAATAATTAATCTTATAATAAATAATATATAATGAATATGATAAATAAAACACATAAATACAAAATACAATAAATAAATATGAAATAATAGCTAGAATACACAAAATAGCAAAACCAGCTGGTTAGATATCACAGCTGGATAAAATACTGCAAATATTATTAATTAATATTATAATAAATAATTAATATTATTAATAAAACACATAAATACAAAATTCAGTAAATAAATATGAAATAATAAGTAGAATACACAGAATACCAAAACCAGCTGGATAGATATCACAGCTGGATAAAATACCACAACTGGATAAAGCCCTGAGCAGCCTGGTCTGTGCTCAGGGCTGGCCCAAGAGCTCAGACATGGAAACCTCCTGTTCTTTGCAACTTGAATTATTGGATGAGTCTGGGCTAAGCCAAAATTTGATGTTTTATCAGATCTGGGTCTATTTCTTGCAGCTTTCAAAATGCAAAAGTTCAGTTGCTTTGACATTTATCTAAAATATTCTAAATATCTCTGTTTTCCTCGTGCCAACAGAGCTGTAACCTCTGAGCTCTGGTGGAACAGCTCCATTCCTCCTCCCCAGGCACCTCATCCTACCCAGGATGAGCTGAAACAGCTTCATTTTTCATTCAAGAGGAGAATTAGGAATTAGGAACCTCCAAGATGACCTCCCACATTAAATGATGCGTGGTTTCCCATAAAAATACACCCACAGCAAAATAAACTTCCAGGTCACGGCACTTGCAGAGCTGCTAAAAGTAACCACAGCCCTCAGCCAACACAAGGATTTGTTTTCTCCCCAATATTTATTTTGGCCATGGTCCTTTCATTTCAGTCAGAGCTTGCAGGTTCAGGTGCTGAGCTCAGGAAAAACCTTCCCATGGCATGAGACAGTGATCTGCTTGTCTCAGAAATGAATAATTAATTGTCTAATTAAGCTTTTGTTCACTTTTCTAACTGCGCTTCACAGCTGGTTCAGCATCTGTGTTAAAAAAGGGGTGATTTTCACAGCTCCACCTGTAATTGTAGTAATTACGATTATCTGCACTGTTCCCTTCCCACCAAGGGCTGGTTCTGTCCCCAGGACAGGGTGATGCTGCAGGGCAAACATTTACCCTGGACCTCAAAAGCTTTTGAAGGCCAAAATACCCGTGCTGAAACACTCTGTAATCAGATGTCTTAAAAGGAAATTATTCAAGTGCAAACCTATTATTAGAGGAACACCTAATCCTCTGGAGACTGATTGAGTGTGAGAGCAGGACAGGGAGGGTTGGGAGCAGCCAGACTCAATCCAAGCAGGAAAGTTGGTTTCCACCTCCAGGAGCTCTTGGACAGCTTCACAGCTCCAATGACTCAGCATCTCCACCCTTCTTTTTTATTTTTTTAATGCTTAGGGAATGTTTAAACTTATTTTCACCTGTGAATTTTATCCTTTAAAGAGGGAAATAACTTTTGCCATGGCTTGCTCCTCCAAACTGCTGCCTCCCTATAAATCCTGTCATATAAATATTTTTATTGTTATGGAATGTCTTTAAATCCTATTTAAAAGATGGTTTTCTTTTTAAAAGATTAGGGTTAGGATTAGGGTTAGAGTTTGGGTTAGGATTAGGATTAGGATTAGGATTAGGATTAGGATTAGGATTAGGATTAGATTTAGAGTTAGCAGACACAGCTCAAAAGCAAAAATGTATTTCCAGGTGTTTCTTCCTGCAGCTCTATAATCCTCAAAGCTGGAATTTAAGGAATAGGGTTAGGGTTAGGATTAAGGGTTAGGGTTTGGGTCAGGGTTTGTATTAGGGTTAGGTTTAGGATTAGGATTAGGTTTAGGATTAGGGTTAGGGTTTGGGTCAGGATTAGGGTTAGGTTCTGGGTCAGGATTAGGGTTAAGGTTGTGTCAGGATTAGCGTTAGGGTCAGGTTTAAGGTTAGGGTTAGGGTTATCAGGCACAGTTTAAAAACAAAAATGCATTTCCACTCACCACACATGGAATTCCAGGTGTAGACTCCCACAGGTCCCAGGAATGTCTGGTAGGGGTTGCTGACGCTGTTGGTGCAGGTGAAGCCGGCGCTGAGCAGGGAGCTGAGCAGAGCCAGCACCAGCACCGCGATGGTGGCGATGTTCAGGCTCCTCCTGCTGCTGCTGCTCAGGGCGTCCGCGACTGGAACACGGCGAGAGAGGGGCGTGAAAGGGTTTTCAGCCTGTCAGAGGCTGACCTCTTTCCCAAGGAAAAGTTTCTTGAGAAAGTCTCAAGGATAACTTGTGTAAATAACTTTAAATAACTTCTCAAAACAATTGTGCCCAGTTGTGCTGATTGTGTTTCTCTTGTTCCACCAATGGGACCAGAGACGTACTGTTCCCTTTACCAATTGTGTTAAACCTGTATCAGAACACCTTATAAAAAGTTAAAATAAAACCCTTCTGATGATCCTCCTGCCTGTTGAACTGAATCCACACATCTTTATTTCATGTCCAAAGGTGACACCTCAGGATTTACCTAAATCCTTCCAGCTCCTCGTTATGTTGCTGGTAACAAGAGACTCAACCCCAAATGTAACACCCTCCAAGTGTTATTTTGTTGAGGTGAATTATTTTCCTCCCTCAATTTAAAGATTGAAAAGGCAACTGTAATCTGCTTTATGTTGTAACAAATACAGTGAAAATGTTCTGGAGCTCTGTTCAAATAGATGATGTTGTGAGAGACAGAATTCTGTAGGAGTATTCCCCTTTTTGTGCCGTTCTTGAACAGAGTCATTATTGCAAAATATTCAGGCAGCCCATAACTGGGAGAAATCACAGCAGAAAAGAATATAAAAAGAGAGTAAAAACCCCATAAAGAGGAATAAACATAATAAAAAGAGCTGTTGGCAAGGAATGAAAAGGAGATTTCCTCTCACATTTTATCTAATGCTGCAGTACAAGTTAATTTCTGCTTGAGGCAGTGGCAGGTAAGGATGTGTTATGGAAATCAGTTGTAAATTGAAGCAATTTTCCTGGAAGAAAAGGAAAGCAGGGCATCCAGGGGATATCACTCAAGGAAATGGAAGTGAGCAGGTTGTACCCTGCACTCGGGCTGAAGCAGCCTTGCAGCCTGGCCATCACCTGTGATCTATTTCTTGAAGGAGAAATAAGTCTGGAGCCAAATCAGACAGGGTTGTGTAATTCCCCTCTGGCAGCCTCAGTTCATTTTATCTCTCAGAACATCTCCAGAACTGCCTGGCTACACCTCTTGCACGCCCTAATTGATCTTGTTTATCTCTGACACGGAGCTGCAGTTTAGGGGATGGCATTTTGGCAGCCTCCAGCTGTCGTGGCCGTGTCTGCAGCAGCACAAGGCTGAGGGCTTGAAAGAAAATGCTCTTTTCATGGCAAACGATTTTTTTAATTCCTAGATAAAGCAGTCTGTGCAAACAGAAGGAATCTCCAGCAGCTGATCTATTTGAGTGGGATCAAACTCAAATATTTTGAGTGGTAACCTGCAGCTGGATAACCTCTGGATCTGTGTAAAATAATTCTCGAATGAAAACAGGGTTTGGTCAGATTTCTCCTTAATTTCCTGTACCTTCTTTTGTTTTTTATCCTTTATTCTTGCATGTTTGGGTAGAATTTTCCAGACTTTCACTGAGCTTAGTCAACTCTGGCTTAGTCAGCTCTACAATCACCCATGACACATCAGGAATTAATCACTGAAAGAAGCCCAAACAAACCAGAAATCCCGAGGAGAGCTCAGCAGAGCTTCCTACTTTTCAGAAGATCCCTGGAAACCGATGGGAACACGAATGAATTCCAGCAATTTCCAAGCTTTTGTCATGTATTTTAGAAAGTGAGAAAGTGAAATGATTCCTCTGTGTTGTGGTAAATTTGGAAAGACTTCCCTGGGTGTTGTTGGCCTTGCTGGCTGCCAGCAGTTGGGTAAATCCTGATATTCCAGACTCTCCGGGCGCGGCTCCTCCCGAGCCTGGCTCAACCTCTACCTGTTTGATTTGGAGCAGTCCAAGCTGTGACCAAGCCTTCTCTGACAGACATTTCACCCACAGCTGGCTCCTCTCTAAGATAAATCATTCCAGCAGCTGGGGAAGGCTCGGAGGAGCCTGGTGATGAAATAACCTGTGCGTTCTGCGGAGCCTGAGGAGCGGCTGCAGTGATTTATTGCTCTGGGAAAGAGCCGCCCTGGCTGGGCACTCCAGGCACTGCCACAAGTGACATTCCTTTGGCTTTCAGCTCTATGCTTGGGAATTTCTTTGGATGTTGTGGTTTCTAGAGGAATCAGTTGGGTTTTTTGGTAAAGGCTGTGGATGATCTGCTTTTGAACGGCCACTGGTAAAAGTCAACCTGAGCTATTGCTGAAAATAACCCTCAAGTTCTTGACTGTGATTTACCCTTCAGGGATTGTCCTTCTTTTCCCACACCCAAATATGACAATGCCAGTTGAGAAATGCACGTGGGGTGCACAGCAGAGCCCCCAGGCAGGGCACAGCTGCTTTTAAACCATGCTGTGATTTGAAGGGATGTTTACAACTCCTCTTGCTGATGTCTGAAATGCTGGAATGGAGAAAGCTCAGCACTTTGTTCCTCCTTAGCACTGGAAATCCATTTATTTAAGGATATCAGCAAAGGAAATGCATCTCCTGTCTTAGGAGGACAGGAATATAAATTAAGGTGAATATAAAGAGAGAATGTATGGAATTCTAGGAAGCATTTTCCCTATTTCAATTTTATATGGAATAGAACGATAGAACAGACTGGTTTGGGTGGGAAGGGACATCAAATCCCACCAGTGCCACCCAGCCATGGCAGGGACACCTCCCACTGCTCCAGCCCCAATGTCCAGCCTGGCCTTGGGCACTGCCAGGGATCCAGGGGCAGCCCCAGCTGCTCTGGGCACCTGTGCCAGGGTCTGCCCACCCTGCCAGGGAAGGATTTCTTTAGCAAATTCTTTAGAAAATAATATAAAACATGATAATTATGCTTGTTATAGAGCCTAAGAATGAACATAAAGTCAGTTCTTATTCTGGATTCCTGCCTGACACAACCAGTGAGGGATGTGGGCAACCCCAAATTTAGATTATTGATAAAGCATCACTCTCCTTCAGCAGCTGTGGAAGGAAACTCACAAATCCAGAAGCTCACTCATTTTGTTCATCCCTAAATAACCGCTGGGGACAGCTGAGATCACCTTCTGTAAATGTTCTCTCAGCATTTGATAAATGATGAGCACAAACCCCCAAATCTGGCTGCGGGAAAACCCAACACCACCGATGCAGGCCACGAAGAGAACCAAAACCCTTCACTGATAGCAGCGTTGTGATCTCATTTCATTAATTCAAATTCAAATTGATCTGCTGGCAACACCCAGGCCCTGGGGCTGGGCTGTGGGAGCTGCTTTAGACAAAGGCAGGGCACAATCCCTGGAGTGCAGCCAGCCTGGATCATCCTCTGCCATCAGCTCTCCAGGCCAGGATTCCACCTTTCCCACGGAGCCCAACTCAAATCAGCCAGAGCTGCCCACATGGCTCAAGGTTTGGGGCTTCAGCAAACTATAACCACAGATTATTGTATTTATTTATTAGTATTTACTCTGCTAAAGATCACTTTCATTATTCTGCTGTGACTGTAATTAATTAAGATGGAGTGATTTGGGATTTTGTGCTCATTATGTAACGATACCAGTCTGTGCTCCACCTCTTGCTGGGAATGCTGCTGTGCTCAGGGTTTCATGGGAACATAAATGGAATGAAATCCAGCTAAATGTGGGGACTGGTTTGTGTAACCCAGCTCTGCCACCGTGGGAATTCAGGTGTTTCTGCAGGTGCAATTCCAGGAATAAATTAGGCTGGGGAAGAACCTAATTGATTAGGCTGGAGGTTTAGATCTGCTGTGCTGGGACATCTCACAACAGCCTACCAAAAAATGGAATTATTTCTTAAAGCATCTTAAAATCCCAGATTGATTTGGGTTGGAAAGGACCTTAAATCCCACCCAGTGCCACTCCAGCCATGGCAGTTCCACCTTCCCCTGTCCCAGCTGCTCCAGCCCCAATGTCCAGCCTGGCCTTGGGCACTGCCAGGGATCCAGGGGCAGCCCCAGCTGCTCTGGGCACCTGTGCCAGTCCTTATAGCTAATTTAAATCCATATCTCATATTTCAAAATTATTTTGAATATACTATTATCTGCTAATTATATATTGTATCATATTATCTGCTCATATTTTTGGTAGCTTTCATTTGAGTGGCTTTTCTCCCTTTCCAGTGTGTCACCAGCGTTATTGCTCTGAATTTGATGAGGCAGCAAGGCAGATAAAATAAGTGCACACCCTTGATCCTTGAAGCAGCTTTCAGGTTTATCTGCCCTTGGGTGTTGTTTTGTGTATTTTGTTCCTTTTCCTGCAGCAGCTTTCAAACCTTTCTCTATCAAAATGGTGCTAATTCAGTAGTTGGTGGCAAAATGTTTAAAGTCAAAACAATAAATTAACATCATGAAGTTAAAAAAAAAACAAACCAAATGCTGGGAGGTGAATTGGGTTTGTAAATCCCTTAATTAAGCGGCGAGTGTCGCTTTTCTGTTCCTCACTGAACTTCTGAAAATCAAAGTCACTTTGGCAGAGAGCTCCAGTTTTGTGGGTTTTTCCCTTGTTTTAAGGTGCAGGCTGAGCTCACAGGTGGTATGTTGTTATTGTTGAATTTCTGTGCTTTTTTTAAAGGGTTTTATTTTATACCACTTAAATTCCCCACTTAAATTCTTGTTCTCTTTAAAATACTGTAAGATGGATACGTCCGTCAGCGGCACGAGTGAGGTGATCCTGGGTTTGGGTTGGATATTGGGAAGGAATTCCTTCCTGTGAGGATGGTGATGCCTTGGATTCCTTGGGTTTCCAAGGGAGGTTGTGGCTGCTCCTGGATCCCTGGTCCAAGGCCAGTCCAATTCCTTCCCAATAGCCAACCCAAACCTAAAATCTTCTTACTTGTCCCACTGATGGATGTATCCATCTTACAGTATTTTAAGTGATTTGGAAATATGAGATACGGATTTAAATGAGATATCAGAACTGGCACAGGTGCCCAGAGCAGCTGGGGCTGCCCCTGGATCCCTGGCAGTGCCCAAGGCCAGGCTGGACATTGGGGCTGGAGCAGCTGGGACAGGGGAAGGTGTCCCTGCCCATGGCAGCAGAGGCACCGGATGGATTTAAGCTCCCTCCAAACCCAAACCAGTCTGGGATGCTCTGATCCACTTCCAGATGTGCCAGCACTTACCTTGGAAGGTCATTTTGGACACCTGGAGTCCTGCATCCACGAACTGCTCGCAGGTGCCCCTGAAGAGGCCGTACTGGAGGCTGACGGTGACGTTGGAGCCGGTGCGCGAGAAGCGAACCTCGCTGCTCACCCACTGCGGGGTGGCCAGCACCACGCAGATCACCACGAAGGAGCTGACACAGGCACAAAAAGCAGAGGCAAACATGGATGTTTTCTTCCTGGAGGGCATCTTCCCACGGATTCTTCCCCCAGTTCAGAGGATTTGGTTCCCTTTAATCCCGTTTACCGTGAGGGTGATTCCTCCTCGGCGCTGCCCAGGCACAAAGTTGTTCTGGTAAACTTTAAGCAATCAGCAGTGGCTATAAAAATGTAAAATAATTGAACTTTGCTCTGGGGAAAAGGTATTGCCATGGTGACAACCAAAGCAGCCTGGCAAAGGCCGCTGGAATTGTCCATGGATGATTTATGGTCCTCGCCACTTCCCAGATCCCAGCTCTGGGTTCATCCAAAGCCTGGAGCTGGCACATTCCCAGCTCCTCCTGGGACAGTTCTCAATTCCTCGCTTTTTCCTCTTAAAATCCTGACAGCCAGGCTGGAATCTGCCAATCTGTATCTAATCTCTCTCTGATACATTATGATAAAGTTGTAAAATGTTCCTTCCCCGTTCAAATTCCCAGCTTGCCTGAGGAGCTCCCCAACCATCCCTTTGGGAAACCTCTTCAATTCTTCACATTTCAGAAAATATTGTGCTGGTTTTGGCTTTTGGTGGGGTCTGTCTGCTTTGGAGCAGGTTCTATCTGCTGTCAATAGGTTGCTTTCCAATTCCTAATTAATTCTAATTAATTCTAATTCCTAATTAAATTCCTAATTCTAATTAAATTCCATATGTTTTTACAGAATACCTCCTTCCCTTTTGCTTTTTTGGCAGGGAGGAGACAAATACCTTGAGCAGGGCTTAATTTCAGGGAAGGATGGACATGTACAGGGAGAAATCCTGGAAAAAATCTATTCTGGACTATAAACCAAGGGAATATATTCATTTTTTGATCCCAGCTGACCTAAACATTGACCAAAGAACACAATTTCTTCATTACTTAATGAAAAGACTGAAGCCAAATCCCAAGAATTTGAGGTAAACCCAAAGTTGGGAGCTTATTCCCTATTATTTTGGCCTGAAACATGGAACATAAATGAATAATTTATTGTCGGTGTAGAATAACAGAGATTCCATTAGCTTTTATTTCTATTAATTATAATGCCATTATCCACTTTATACTGAAGCCCTGCTCCTGGATCATCCAGAGCTTTTGAATTAACCTTTAGGGAATAATCTGCTTTAATCAACCTCTGGACTTCTTGTCCTGAAGCTTCCCTGCTTTGTCCTGTGATGACAGGGAGAGATTCTGGATTTTTTTTATGGATTTGAAATAGCCAAGAACTTCTCAGCAGGGGTAAATACCTGGCAAAATACTTATTTTGCAAAGCAGTGTTATTGTACTGAGGTTTTTCTGGTTTTATGATATTTTTTGATCCCAAACTCTTAAGCAGCAATTAGATTTGACATCCATGGATTTTATATTTATAGTCTTGTGATTTTTTATTTTTTTTTTAACTACTTGAGACTTTGATGATATCTTTGAGGTCATTATTTATAGGAATATATAAATGCAAGTTTTTTAAAGTATTCAAGTTTTATTCCTAAATAATCAAAGTGGAAATCAGTCAGGATTTGAATTAAGCTTCAAGGAATAAAGGGAAATTTCTTGCCTTGTATAAAATAATAAGAAACCTGCCTCATTTTCTGTCCACTACCCAGTTAAACTTTAACCACAGAAATGTGGGATGGCTCTGTTGGGCTGATCCACCTCTCCAGGTTCATTAATCCAACACTTCTATTCTCCAAAGGACATAGTCCAAGATTTTATAATCCAAGGATATTTCCTAATAAACAGAGCTAAAACCTGCCCTCCTACCATCAGCAGTGCCACTTGTCCCCTCTGAAATACGGTTTAAAAATTCAGCATTGGAGAATTGATGTTTGTCTTGGCTAAAACTTCCCAGGAATTATTTTTCAGCTCCTTCAATTTTAATGAATTGAGCACCTTACACTTTAAAAATACTGAATAGCAGAGACTCAGAGCATGGTGAACAGCCTGGGGTTCCCTTCCTTGCAATCTGACTCAATTGGATTTAGTTTTTGGTGACTCAGCTCAAATTGTTATGGCTCAAATCATTGAAACTCTCCTGTGGCTCAGGGGCTTGCTCTGTAAATGAGATCATCATTTGCTTTTTTTCTTGCTTGAGGTTCATTCTCTGCCTGGGCTATGATTCCTTGTCTTTATTTCTATTTTTTTTTCTCACAGCTACCTGTAAAATCATCATAAACCTGGAATTAAAGCTGCAGTTTGACAGGACACACATCATCTTGAGAGAGAAAGGAGAAGAGATTGGTTTCCTCTGACTCAGAGAAAATATTTCTTAATCAGCATCTTCTCATCTCTGCCCTCACCGACCCTGACTCAGCCCTGCACAAGAACCACAGAGAAAAATCAGATTAATTTGTTATGAACCGGGGGGCAGCAGTGAGATCTGCAATCCTTTGCTACATGAAATTACCCATCACTTTTAAAACTTGATGATGTGATTTCCCTGTCTGCTTTAAGCCAAAAATACAAAAGCAAGGCCTTTAAATGCAAACTTTCCACGCACATCTATTCTTTAATATTGCAAACACCTTCTTACATGGGGGAAAAAAAAATAATCCTATGTTGGCTTGATGCTTTTCCCACAGTTCCAGAAGGATGAGAGATCTGGGAGGAATTCTTCCCTGTGAGGGTGCCCAGAGCAGCTCTGGCTGCCCCTGGAAGTGTCCAAGACCAAGCTGGAGCAGCCTGGGATGGTGGAAGGTGTCCCTGCCCCTGGTAGTGTGGAATGGGATGGATTTAAGGTCATTTCCAAGCCAAACCATTCTGGGATGTTCTCCCGAGGGATGCCAGCAGGGCAGGATCCAAGGTTTGGTTCGAAGCTCTCAGCTGTGCTCAGCAGCAGCCGGGGAAATTCAAGGTGAAGCCTCTGCAAATTCTTCTCAGTTCTGCTGCAGCTGCAGCTCTGCCCTGCTGGGAGTTAAAAATTCTGTGTTCTGTGGAAATATCCTGTGTGAAACCAACTGGCTGCTGGCAAGGGGGGCTTGGCAGGAAATGCTGCTGATATTTGGGATTTTCCTGGGCCTGACCTTCGTGGTGCATCCTCGTGTCACCCACAAAGCCTTTCCCACTTCCCTTTTCCATCTCTGATTGCAGAGGAGCTCAGCTGCTTCATCCCTCAGCTGGGTTTGGCTCCAAAAAGATTCCAAAAACTTCCAGGATGTGCAGGATCAACCCATGGATTCCACGCAGGATCAAACCAAGTGTTGCCAATGTTGCCTCTCCCTCTTTTGGGACGGATGAATTAAAATTAAAACAAATTATTAAGAATGAAATCTGGGTTTCTTTGTCCGGCACTTTGCAGCCAGAATTCAGATGGAAACAGGGATTTGGTTGTGTATTTGGACTGGAAAAGGGAAATAGGATAAAGCCTCATAATTTGATTGGAGCTGAGGTTGAGAAATGTGAAGCTCTGCAAAACAATTGCAACAATTCCTCGGAAAACTTTGGGACTCTTTGGAAGAAGGGTGTGAGCACTGTTTTTATGGATCCCTGCCCAGTGCTGCTGTGGGGTGGATTTGCACAATTCCATCTTCTGATTTCTTCTTTCCCTCTGACCTTTTTGGGATTTTCTCCCACGGCGCTTTGGAAAGACAAAGCAAACAAGTTTGAGATGTTTGCTTGGATTTGTCCAAAGTTTCTGGGCCAGAAAACGCCCAGAACTTCCCAGCTGAGAGCTCCATCATGGGATGGTTGTGGATGTCTGAGCTCCGAGGTTGGAGCGGGATCACAGCTGGAATGTTGTCCCTCAGACAGGTGGAATAAATTTGGAATAAATAATTTTGGAATAAAAATTGGTGGAATATTGTCACCAGCCCCTCAGCTCAATCCTCTCACCCCGGCCGCCAGCAGGATCTGGGGAAAAATAAAAAAATAGCAGAAAAAAAAGAGGAGTATTTCCAACTAGGAATTAAAATAAATGGGAGATCCCAAAGCCACTGGAACCAACACAACTGTGCAAAATCTGGGTTTAAAATTATTGTTGCTGCCAGGGGATGCCTTGGATGTGAGTTGTGTCCACTCTGGATTCTTTGGAAAAAGGCCAGAAGTGCCAGGAAAAGAGGGAATGGCTTCAAACTTCCAGGTTAGGGAGGATACTGGGAAGTGGGAACACCCCGTGCTCACATGGCAGCTGCAGGGACAGCCCTGAAATTGCCTTTTCTCAAGGACATTTGGGTTAAGAAATGATCCAGCATTAAGTTTTGATGGGAAATAAATCCTTCCATGGGAAAGTTTCTCCTCTACAACTTCTCCCAGGGCAGGGGAAGGAGAGCAGCAGCTCCCTGAGCACCTGACTCCTTGTTTGTCCTGTTTCTTCCCATTTCCAGGCTGGAAAAATCCTTGGTGGGAATGTTTGCAGGCCATTATTTATAAAATAAAGAGCTTTAAAATGAAATAGTGAAATTATAGAGATGTTTTCCATTTTCACTCCACAAGTCAGTGTCTGCATTTCCCTAAACAACAGAGCTCCACTAAAGCCTTTAAGATCTCTCAGAGTGTCTTTTGTCCACACCCTAAAAGATGACACAGCTTTAAAATGAAGTGTTTTGCTGTTAAAACATTTTCATTTATGACTGAATAGTGAAATTCAGTGGTCAAGTGCAGTTTATTGACGAGTGAGGGGCAAAAATACACTCCTGGTATTTTAAGAAATGGAAAATACAGCCTTTGCAATATTTTCATTTTAATAAGACGTGGCTTTGAAGCTGCTTCAAGGTGTGGAGTGTTTAAAACAACCCCTTGAGGCAGAGATGGAGAGAAGAGCAGGCTTCCACTTATTGCAATTTCTGTAACAATTCCAAAGAGATGGAGGTTTGAACACTTCAATCCATTCCTACAGACTCCTAATTTTAGATTGCAAATGGAAAAACCTTCGACAAATACCCCTTTGAAGTCATTAAATTAACTATTGCTGGAATATTACACAGCCTTTTTTTCCCAAATATTCCTACTTTGAAGAGTTTCCCTTTTATTTTCAGGCTGAGATACATTTGCAGCATCACAAACCACGGGTCTCTGTCAGTTTTTTGCTGTTCTGCCTCTGACTTTCTGATTTTTTTTTTTCCCAGGAATTTACAATTTTTTGTTCCAGCACATCAGCAAAAAGACTGATCCACCCTGCTCTACCAAGGGCATCATGTTGGAA